TTGATGGACCTCCAGGGCATCCGCGTCTTGTACAACATAGTGGTGAAGTGGGAGCGGTACAAGCCGTTCAGTCGTGGAGTCACCCAATGCTCGAACTTCCTGCTATTCGGGCATTGAACGAAGAATTGCCATATGGTCAGCCGCTGCATCAAGTGTGGCAAACAACACAAAACCGACGCCTGCGACAGACTCGATGAAGCCGATTCCATTTGCGCCAACTGCGGTGCTGATCACAAAGCTACAAGCAAGGCCTGCCGAAGCGCACCGAGTACATCGAGATCCGGAAGAAAGCATCGATGAGAAACCAGCCCGGCCGCAAGAAAGTGCCGGAAATTAATGACCAGAACTTCCCACCGGTACCACGACGACCGATTACAGTGCTGCCACCGCTGCCACTCAATCAACGATTGGTTGCTGCTCGTGCCACTGCTACTGCTGCGGCGGCCGCCACCGCTCCACTGCCGCAGGATCTCCTCACAGCCCCTGGGCTAAACTGGCGTCAGGATGGACCGTCCCTACCGCAGCCAGAAATCAACGATGGTTCGTGGTTCACCGCAGCGGAACTAATGATCATCTTCCTCAAGATGCACGACATTGCCAACACCATCATGAACAAATCCGACCAGCTCCAAGCTGTGGCTACCTTCATGCTCAGTTATGGATGGTGAGATCATGATAATCGCAAACTGGAACGCTTGCTCGCTCAAGAGCAAAATTATCGAGTTCGTTGACTTCCTCAACGAACATAGCATCGACATCGCTATTATCGCCGAAACTCACCTGAAACCGGAAATGAACGTATTTATTCCTGGATTCCGGCTCGTGAGGCTGGATCGGACAAGCTCTGTGGGTGGTGGAGTGGCCATCGCTACCATGAACAACATCTGCTGCTGGCTGCTACCGAGTTTCCAGCTGAAAATGGTTAAAGCATTGGGAGTGGAAGTCTTCACACCCATCAGCCCCGTCACCATCATTGCGGCCTATTGCCCGAAAAAAGTTAACGCCAGAGATTCATCCGCGGCAGACATGCGGAGGGATATTGCCGTAGAAAATTCAGCATCGTTTGTGACCTGCACGCAAAACATCAAGCGTGGGGCAACCAACGACGGAATCAAAACGGCACCATCCTGAACGACGACCTGCAAGAGGCTCACTATACCATCCTGGCGCCGGACACTCCCACCCGGCTGAGTCGGTCCGGCGTGCACTCCATCATCGACATCTTCGTCAGCAACATGGGAAACAACATCTCGCAACCTGTGACCCACGAGGAGCTGAGTTCGGACCATTATCCGGTGGTGGCCGAAGTGGGCTCATCCGTCAACCGATTCCAAGCTTCCCGACGCAACTATCATCGTGTCACCTGGGATCAGTTCCAACACTGTGTCGACTCCACTGTCGACTACAGTGTCCTTCCCGAGACGCCCGAAGACGTTGACTGGTGTCTGCATTCCATCGAGGAGGCGATATCCAGGAAACAACACGTGCCAGTATCCAGATAGGTAAACAATACTCTGAACCTTGACAGATCTACCAAAGACCTTATAAGACTCCGTAACACCATCCGAAGACAGTTCCAACGCTCTGGTCTGCCTGTCCTTAAGACCCACTGTAATCACCTAACAAAAACCATCCAAGCCAGGACCTCAGAAATTAGGACTTTGCTAACAGGATTCATTCTCTCCCAGATTGTGCAAAGCCCTTTTGGAAACTAACCAAAATTCTTAAAAATAAGCCAAGACCCATTCCACCACTGACCCCTTTGGATCGTTACGGCGACCTAGTGGTTCATCTGACAACTCCTGAAGAGAAGGCAGCCGCGATAGGTCAATACTTCGTCAGCTTCCATAATCTCGGACAAAACATCGTCAGCCCTCACGAAGCTGAGGTTGCTGAAAACGCAACCAACCTCCATCAGATTCCCAATATTATTTTCCGAGGAATCCGAGATTACGGCTGACGAACTGTTGGCCTATATCAAATCATCTAAAAACATGAAGGTCCCAGGCATAGACAAACAGACGTAACTCTTCATTGTGTATCATCGTTCACGCATTTAACGCTTGATTTGAATATTATATGTTCCGCGAACTACTCGCCGCAGCGCTGGCATCACTTTGACGTTTCTATACATTATATAGAACTTTTATGCAATATTGTTTACGATTTATCGAGCAAGCTTGTTTTCCGCGAGAAATCCGAGAGATGTCGCTACTGAAGTTCTATGTTTTGTGATATTATGTTTTCAAGAAAAACTTTTTCAACAGTTACGTCTGTTTGTCTGTGCCCCAGGTTTCGGCAACATCCTGAATCTGGAACTCAAACACTTGAGTTCCAGATTCTACAACCATCTGGCACTGATTTTTAATCTCTGCCTCCGACTTGGCTACTTCCCCTCGTGCTGGAAGTCAGCTAAAATCATACCCATCCGGAAACCTGGGAAGGATCCGTCCTCTCCATCAAGTTATCGACCAATCAGCCTTCTCTCAGGGTTATCAAAACTGTTCGAAAGAACAGTGCCGGTGCCGGTGGTAGTCCTAACATCTGCCGAAGAAAACAACTTATTACTCGAGGAACAGTTTGGTTTTCGCAAAGGTCGTTCGACCGTCTACCACCTGACTCGAGTAACAAACATTCTCAGACGGAACAAGTCTGTTTCGAAAACATCTGCCATGGCGTTGATGGACGTTGAAAAAGCGTTCGACAATGTCTGGCATGCCTGGTGTTCAAATTGTAGCACTACGGTTAACAACTATCTATCGAACAGGACGTTCCGAGTCTCTCTGAATGACATCACATCGGATGCTTTCAACATCGGTGCTGGGGTTCCACAAGGAACCATCCTTGACCCCATTCTATTCAACCTGTTCACCTCCGATATGCCGGCTCTCCCTGATGGTGGGTTGTTGTCTCTGTTCGCAGATGACACATCCATCGTCTACAAGGGTAGGGTCATCGGAGCTCTGACTGCCAAACTTCAGAGAGGCCTGGACGTCCTGTCTGAATATTTCAACAGCTGGAAGATCCGTATTAACACGGTATAGACCCAGGCCATCATCTTTCCACACTCTAAATCTCCCAGACTTGTTCCGTCGGTGAATAATAAGATCTGCCTGAACGGAACAGTGGTGAAATGGTCGAAAGAGGTAGTCTACATCGGCTTAACACTAGACAGCAAGCTGATTTTCAGGGAGCACGTAGACAAAACCAAAACCTAGTGTAACGTCTTGATAAGATCACTGTATCCACTCATCACCAGGAGGTCTACTCTATCCCTGAAAAATAAGCTTGCTGTCTACAAACAAATTATCCTTCTCGTAATAGAATACGGGATGCCAATCTGAGAGATTTGCGTCCAATGCCATCATGCTCTTTTGGGACTGTTTCGTTACTTTTTAATATAGCTTACGGTAAATCCAATTGAATGCTCAGTTAACCCATCTTAAAATAGATAGTTTAGTGCTATTAATATCCCTATCAAAATTCAAAAAATGCGCACCGTAGAGCCACACTCTGTGTTTTCACTCAAGGTACACTTGAGAGCGCTCTCGAGTGCATGCTTGCTGAAACTCCTCAAACTCACGGGAGGATTGAAAAAACTCTTGTCCTGCGAGTTTAGCTCCTCGAGAGAGAGAGGGAGAGTGAACTTCAGCGAGAGGATGATTTGACGTGAGGTGTGCTTTTCGAGACTCCGGATGACTTTTTTGTTCAACACAAGAAGCTCAGAGTTCGCCCAGAGTGAGAGTAAGAGCGTGTGATAGAAACATGAACATGAATGGCAGCAAACCTCACTCTCATTTTATCCCCCTTCGCTCACAAGCTCTGAAGCTCCGTGTAATAATTTAGCAGCACGCATTCTACTCCTCAGAAATATGCTACGCTCGGCTCATCTCAAACTCGTAAGTGAGGCTCCATCAAGCCTGCTCGAGTGTAGCTTCAGTGAAAACACAGAGTGTAGCTCTACGGTGAGGATATTTTGAATTTTGATAGCACTCAAATATCTTTTTTAAGATGGGGTAACTGAACATTCAATTGGATTTAATGTAAGCATTTTATATTAAGAAGTAATGAAAAAGTCCCAAAAGAGCGATCCAATTTTTTTGTTCCGTGACCCCATCCCTGGCACTTATGGCACTGGGTGAGGTTTTGGAAATGTGTTCCCACTTCACTCGGTCAGTATTGGTGTCGCAAGTAAAAAAATGTGTTGCATCTCAGTAAGATACTTGAGAAGACGTTTGAATCCATCCAAGGTTTCAGCATTCTCCCCAACGAACGAAGTTCAAAAGTTCCGTGAGAAGAGCATGGAAGTCGGAAGTGGTTATCACAATAGGGGGACCTTTTCCTGAACGATGTATCATTCTCATAATCCATGATGCATATCAAATTGATTGCTCAAATTTATTTCGTCAGAAGGTGGATTAAGAGATTACCCTTTTCTTTTGCGCTTAGGCACCATGGCGGTAGAAGAAAGTTTCTCCAATTTGCCTACCAAGCAGATTACTATAAGAATTGAACCTGTAAAACTTTAAGATCGAATCTCAAAGATGATCCGGTTAACTGTTGTCCTGCTTACGTCTCCTGCGACACATAGCTGCAACTATGTTTGCTAAACAACCCATTCACATCTAAAAACATTCACACCGCACTGTAACACTGTCCAAGTGTATACGAAGCATGCGCTCCGGCGGAGATTGAAGTCACCCATTCAATTCAAAAAAGCACCACTAAAATGCGCTCCCATTAGGGCGTCTGCTGTCGTTGGTTTGCACCCAATAGTGCCGCATGGCAATGGCAGAGATGGGTCCATTCAGCCATAGTCTTTACCACTACTGGTTCGCTACCGACTGGTTGGCTGATGCACCACGGAGGCAACGTAACGACTATCTACTAGTCATACTTGGCCAAGAGCCTTCCGAAAGAGATTCCCTTAGTGTCAGTCGATCGCAGTCGTCGGAAGGAATCGGATGTAGAATTTGCTTCCATCATCGCCCTGTACGTTCGGGAATCGGTCGTGTTGTTCTCTCCCATGTTTACGTGGTTCGCGTTTTAAGCGTTTGCGGTTTGGTGAACTTCCAGGAAACATTTAAATATTTTACAAAGGAAGAACAAGAACAAATGTGCATAGTGCCACTGGAGAGCATATTTATCAAATGCTTATGACATATCAACCAATGAGGAAAATGAATGTACGGTTTTGGATTTTTCTCCTTTACTTTGTGTCATCGGATTTGGTCTTAGGTGAGCATTGTGCTATAGTTTTATGTGTCAGAGCTATCTCCAAAGTAAAGTAAATATCTAGATCGAAACAAAAATAATGAAAGATTCTTTAATCTTGAATCATAAACCGTTATTTGCCATCATGACCGTCTGGTTCTGAATTTTGCAATGTGAAAATGTAATTAAACTATATGATGATTACTAATAAGGTACTCCCCCAGATGATCTATAAACAAAACAAAAAGTGACGATTCGGCGTGTAGAACCAGTTAGATTTAGTATATTCTGTTCGCAGCATTTGAATCAGTGTTTAAATCCGAATGGTGTATGAATGTACTGTAAGTATCATGGAAATATTTATGAAAAAGTTTCCACATCCAAATTTGGGTGGCAAAAATCAGTCATCGCCTTCAGACCTTGAGGCGTGATAAATAATGTAGGGTAAGTGTAACAGTGTGACTTTATGCCCATTCGAGTGGCTCACCGCTACATGAAAAAAAATCGAAGTCTGGAATTTCAAACATTTCAACAATGGTTGGTTGGGGCTCCAAACACCCTCGCAAAATTTGAAGTCATTTAGTGCACGGGAATGGCTCCCTCAAAGGACTTAAAGTTTGAATAGGAAAAATACCTTAAAAGTATCCCACGACGATAACGAGGCACTTCGAAAATTCAGACTCTACTGTTCGATTTTCTTGGTGTATAAAATAAACAACCTTCGGGGTATGGAGAACAATTTTGCAGAAGACTTTAAGTCAATTCACGATAACCCTGAACAGTTATTACGTTTTAGAGCCCAAGGGAAACTGGAAAGCCTTGATCCCTGAGGACACTTGGTCTTCATGTTGTCTAAAAATCCAGAGAGGATTTTATCGTCAATTGTAACAAAGCATCGTCTAGATGGTGACGTTTGCGTCAGTTTATTGAACGTATTTAATTTTAAGAGTAGTTTTTAGCTTTCTTTTCGTGAACATGTTGATAACTTTTTGAGTTTTCAACCAAAATGAATAAATTTTTGACATTTCAAAGCTTTGAATAAGTGGAATCGCTTATGATCATCGCTGTTTTTATCTTATGTTCGCTTAACCTGTTATACAGTTAATTGAATCAGTTTGATTTGAAGTTGAAAAAACAAATTTGGGATATTTACACATAAAATGCAAATATATGAGTGTGAAAAAAATGCTCTGTTTGGGAAGATCTCGAGTTTGATCACGGGATGCCTCTAGATTCAAATATCGAATGATACCCGAATAGAGGTAAATAGTAAAATAAAGGGTGTATTCGATAAAAATGGCACACACATATTTACTTCCCAAAATTATACCGATTATCGGATTTTCTTGAAATTTTCATGGAATGAAAAACTACTAATGAGTTATGATCAACAAAATTTGTTTTTGCAATTTCGTCTTCCATCCCGAATACCCGTGCCTTCCTTTTCACTCCACCCAACAAATTTTAAACAACCAATTTTCCCAGTGTTTTTGTTGTTTTTACCCAAATTTTCTTCAATTCCAGCTCTGTTTTAATAGTTTTAGGATGTTTGCAAAGTTCCGTCTTCATAATTGCCCATATTTTTTTTTTCAATTGGGCGAAGTTCCGGTGAATTTGGTGGGTTCATATCTTTTGGTACAAAATTGACTCCGTTGGCTCGGTACCACTCCAACACGTTTCGAGCGTAGTGGCAGGATGGACATCAGTCCAAAACAGAGTTGATCTTTTGTGCTTCCGTATGAATGGCAAGAGACGCTTCTTAAGCGTAAATCGCACCGTTTCACCACATCCGCAAATTACCTGCCAGATCAGGAACTTCTTTGCAAATTTCAATAATTTCTTCCTTCGAACATCCTCAAACTTAGACTTGGCAACGAAATATTCTTGCCCAGGAAGTTGACGGAAGTCGGCCTTGACGTAAGTTTTGTCATCCATCACGATGCAACACGATTTGGTGAACAACTTCGTGTAAAATTTCCGGGCACGGGTTTTCGCAGTGATGTTTTGCTTTTCATTACGGTTTGTACGGTTTTGGGCTTTTAACACCTTGTGAACATGTAACTCAGCACGCTTCATGTTTTCTGCACAAAAACGACTGACACCTTGGATTTTTTAGCGACATCTAGAATTGACGGTTTTGAGCTGTTGCACCGCTTTCCTGGGCATTTTACTGTCCATTGGACCACTTTTATGATCACTCCCTTCTTTCCTTCGGGTAATCAGACGCCCCTTAAAGGTTCTTATCACACGAGACACAGTTGTATTTGCAATTCCAAGCTTTTTAGCGATCCATCGATGGGACACCTTTGGATTTTGATTGTAAGTGCACAAAAAATTTTCGCGGACAATTTCTTGTTTCAATCATGTCGAAACTTAAGTATAAATAACTATGAAATTTGGCAGATGTAAACTATACACTATGAGTAAGATTTTCTCAAATTTACAGGTGTTTTACTCACACGGTTCAAAAGTTACATAAGATTTTCGGTGTGCCATTTTTATCGAATACACCCTTTAATATCAATTTTGGATATCACAACTCATTAAATTATTTATATGCTCTTCAACAAAACAAGTCAATAACAAAGCAATACCCAACTAACATTTTAAGCTTTATAAGCCAACTGTAAAGAAGCCGAAAAAAGGCTGCAGATAATAGCTAAAAGCAGAAACTAGCAAAATAGTTTTGGAGAGCGTTTACTCAAAATGTTCACAATAATTATTCAATTTGTCAGTCACGCAGCAAATAAACGCTAATGTCACTTCTATACACATATTAATCAACTTTCGACTTGTAGCTGCAAAACAAAGCTAATAAATACTCATTTAATGGATTCTACACAACCAACCACTCTTGCTGAATAACATAAATATCAAAAGTACATTTTCAACAACTAAACAACCTGTACTCAGCTAATTAACTGTGTTAGCTTTACTTTGGAAGCATGTTTAATCATCTAGGTTCAGTTTTAGACTTGTGCAGTTTTACAGCTTTCACTCCGCTCTTTTTTAAAGCTGAACTAATTAGCCGAGATAAAGTGATCTTGTTGTAGAAGGTTTTTTTGTTTTTTGTTTACGTCAGTTCAAAGTGTTGGCGTAGCTTATTTGGTAGTGTCAAGGTTTGCCAATGCCAATCGTCTCGAGTTCGAACATTCCAGGTTTCCGGTACAGGGTAAATAAATTTGGTAGTGTTCTTATAACTAATTTCGATTAATTTGATTCGCAGTAAAATAAACTTAATAAAATCCTCCAACAAAAAAACGGGTTAAACAATATTTAACCTGGCTACCAGAGAAAGCTGTGTAGTGATTATTGGATTACCGGGAAAAGGTTGAATAAGCGCCTTTCAAGTTCACACACAACTAAACAGCAGGATAACAGCTGTATAGAAGCGTAAATGGATATGCAATAAGAGCTTGTCCCAACCTGTCCCAACAGCCATAAGTACCTGACTAAGTTCAGCAGATTTGCTTGCAAAGAGGTTGAGTAAAGGTTTCTTCATATCGTATAACATTTAAATGCAGCTTGAGACTGTATGAATGAAATGAGTAAAGCGTTTACATTGCGAAAATTGTTAGTTGGGTTTTGTATGAACTGGATAAAATTTGTGCGTTCTTCCAGCAGATCGAATTCCAGTGCTCAAAGATAATCCGAAGAGATAACATACACGGATAGAAATCTCCTTATATCTTTTGGCAAATTTGGATTATTCATAAAATGTATAAGTCAACTAATAAGCACACGCCTTGCAAAAATTTAATGAAAATCATGTGTCAAATGAAATTTATAAACGGTCACACATACCTTTTATGAATTCTTATAGGACCTATGCGGTTTGTCTTAGGAATGTATAAGGCTGATGTTTTGGCAAAAATGTATAAGTGAAACACATAAATAAAATAATTGATTTTCGTTTCGTGTAGAGGCTTCAGTTTACACGTCAATTGTTTCTTCAGGAAAACGGACGGTATTCCGTCTGGTCCGGAATTGTGAGACGATTTCAGCCTGGGTGCCACCGATGAGATCAGAGCTTCATCGACCGGGATTTCGTTCAGCACGTGATTGTACACGGGTACATTGGAAGCAGCTAGAGCAACTTGTTGGGACGATATTATCTCGTTAATTTCTTCAAGGCTAGATGCATCGTTAACTCCTAACTTCATGGTAGAAGGGAGACCGGATTCTTTGTGCTGTTCATTCACGTACTTCCAAAAACTCCGTGGATTGGACTTGAATTCGCGCTGCATGTTCTGGTGGTAGTGGGAAAAACTTTCCAGTGATGCCTTTTTGTACGCCAAGTTTAGCCTCACGTAATAGTCTCGAAGTGATATCATGCGTTATCTCGTAAACCGTCTTAACGCAGTTCCCTTGATGGATTTCATCTTACTCAGACTCTTCGTTTGCCACGGATGACGATCTAGATCTCGATGCACCGTGTTTGGCATATGCCTATCGATAACATAAGGCTTCTACTCGAAAAAATTGCACAATTTTTATCCGTGTGTAACTTTTTTTATCCATGGGTAAAAATTGATGAAAATCTGGGTATAACTAGTTTGGAGTGAATTGTTTACATGTGCAATATTTCATAACTATCGGTTCAGTGGTTAATGAGATGTCATCGAAACAAGAAGAAAATCGCCGGAGAATTTCGCGCGCCGTCATGGAAAATCCGACTGCGACCATGAGATGGATCGGAAGACAACTGGAAATTACCCATACCACTGTGTCTCGGGTGATAAAATCGTTTAAGGAGTTCCAGATGACCGAGCGGCGCGCTGGAAGTGGAAGAAAATCGAAGACAGCTGACCCTGTGAAGGGCCGGAAGGTGTTGGATTATTTCAAGCGTAATCCGAACCTTTCGATTCGCGACGTGGCTCTGAAGACAAAGTGTTCTGCCTGGTTCGTTCAGCAAACCATAAAACGAGCTGGGCTTCGTGTATTCAAGGTCCGGAAGGCACCGAACCGGCGTGATTAACAAAACACGGCGGCCAAATCCCGCGCAAGGAAGCTGTATCGAGAGT